TACATCGGTTCGGCCGACCTCCGGCTTGTCTATAAGTACTGTCATGGCTTATACTTCTGTTCGTACAGCTGCATCGATCCGGTCGACCTCCACTGCGACTCTGGTATAAGCTAGTTATCGACTCTTGTTTAGTTCAAGTACGACTGCATCGATCTGGTCGACCTCCACTGCTTGAACTAGATTAAGGTCAAGTTATCGGCTCTATCTAAGGGTGGCATCCTTTGGATAGATGCATTAAGTTACCGATATTGCTTATTGCTTTCATTGTTTATTTAATTACAGCAATATCACTTTGTCCGATTGGGATTGATCTAAATCGGCCTTATATCCTGTTTAACCCATCATTTATTAATCTAAACTGATCTAATCTGCACCTTAAACGATGAGTTATGTTTTATCGGCTGTTTTGTGTCAATCTTGATCGTGCATAGTGTACGGTTAAGGCATGTATGGTCTTGAATAGATCTATTGGCTAAAGAAAACCGTTCCATGGCCTGTTATCACGGCCTGTATGATTCTGTCTCACACCCCATTGTTAGCACCGTGGAGTGGGGATCATTATTTGGTAGATCTGTTCCTGATAGGGATTGATCTTAATTGTGCGCTATGCCTGAATCGGCTGTTTTAGCCGATATCGAGTGTTTTCACATATGCAGTTCATGTCACGAGACCGTTGAAGTAAAGATAGGTTGAAAGATGTGTTAGCCCCATGATCTTATTATTGTATTACGGCCTGCATGATTCTGCCTCATGCCCCACTGATATTAGTAATAAGTTAGGGTTGTCAAATCTATTGTTATTTCTACGGCCTACATGATTCTACCTCATGCTCCACTGGTCATAGCGATAAATAAGATCTAATATGTCCATTAGATTTATCTCTATTAAATGGTTAAATGATGATGAGTTGTTTCTTTTATATAAAGAGGGATTCGGTTACTTGCGGTCATTGGCTTAGCATAGAACAGATTAGTGTTGACATCCTATTGCCATTGACTAATATTTGTCTAAATAACGATATTCGTCTTGAATGATAACCGATTTTTCCTTCCATAATTTTATGAGCTTTAACTGATTTATTCTTATAAGTATGCTGGAATCGGCTATTTAGTCGATCTCCTTCCACATCGGCTCTCAGAGCCGCACATTCGGGACTGTCTGGCAACATCGGCATATTCCGCCTTAAATTACTGATTAGCTTTCTCTCCTTGTCAATTGTAGGGTTAAATTGATTGGTACGTCTCGAGAGGAGTGCGCAGGATCGATAATCTCTGCGTTGAAGCTAGGCGGATCTCCAGCTCCATCAAGCGGACCCTTCCGGCTTGCTCGTGTACCCGGCACGGGACGAAATTTTCGTGTCGACACACGCTTCGCACGCCGGTGGGACTCCACAATCGTCATGGCGGCTTACAATAACAACGACATATTTATGGTACCTTATGAAGACATACCTGATGGAGATAAAGATGTCATCGGCAAAGCTATAGAAGAATTTTAGAACAAGTGTTTGTTGTCCTACGTTAAAACACGTGACAATACAATTGTTTAGAAATATCTACTACCAAGAGTTTTGTTGCATGGGCGGACAGATGCAGCTAAAACTGAAGATAGACGTTTCTTCACGGAAGCTATAAACAAATCTGTTCATGATGCCATATCAAACTATAATGAAATTTTCTTGAACACATTCCACAACACCATGAAGGATGTGTTTCATGGGTTTCCAGCTGATCAGATTGGGCCGACTTATTACAACATTCCATATCCGTCGACCCAGGGGACTAATCAGGTCGGTACCAGCCATCAAGAAGCAGCACCAGCTATTAATGATGATGTTCAGGTAGTTCAGAGTTCATCTGAGCAAGCTCAAGGAACTACTATGAATCGGATATAGTATATTCATGGATCGTTAGTGCAGCATGTGCAACAGCCGATAGGACAAGGTTAGAACCATTGACTTTTCCTAATAAATAAAGATTTTTAATACTAAATTGTTGATGTAGTTATGATTAGAAATAAAACTGATTCTTATAAAAATCTAGAACAGCTGGTGGTTCAACTAAACGATGAAGTCATGAACTGAAATCTTGAACAATTTATAGTCCGATGTAATCTAAATAAATTGTATCTCTACAATCCCCGACAAGGGATGCCATGTGAAAATCGAGACAAGTCTTCCATCATAATTATCGGTAGAGAGATAAATCTTTGACGCATCCACACTATTAATCTGGGACGAACCAGCCGCAGGTGGTTTTTTTTTTCCGGGGACCAAGCATGTGTTAGTGTATGCATGTCGTGTGTGCGTCGCGTTGAGCTTGATAGGTGTGTTCCAAGTCTGCACGGGTAGTCTCATCCGTATTTAATATGCGGTCACCACAGGTGCCCACTTAAGTTCTTATATGATATTGCTAGTGCTCCTGACCTATTTTACATGTTGGCAACAAACTCTTTACTGACTTTAATCGTAGACTACAATCATGATTTAATATAAACATTTGATAGTTTTTTTCTCCCGTTACAATGCACAAATCATATCTGCTAGTGGTTTAAAAGACTTATTAGACATTTATCACCATTTTTAACTAGGATAGGGAGGTAATTTAAATGATTATGAGAGTTGAGGGGGTAAGGAGAAACATGCGTGTTTCATATGTTTCTGTCGTCCTTCTCTCATGGGTCCACTTGTCAATGTAAAGTGGGTAGGAGATTTTCTAGTAACAATTGGTTTCCAATTGCTTCACTCCTTTATAGTATATATGAGGAGAAAAATCAGAACACAATGATAGTTCAAGAAGTTGAAACAGACCTTCTCCATCGACTTCTGACTCTGCTCTTATTTTTTTGGGCCCAATATGGCCCAACGTCCAATCCCAAGAAGAATCATCATCCCCTTCATGTCCTGTGCACCCGCCATGCTTCCATAGAAGCATCCACCAGCATTGTTGCTAATGTGAAGTGTAAACTTCTCCAGCCGCACACTGATCCAGCATTTTCTTCCATTATTGCTATCGTGTGTGGCATCTGCACGAACGAGCAACCTGCCTTTATGTATTCTAGCGGAAGAGTGTAAGACATTGTTTGCTTTTTTTTGAGCTGACGCCTGTTTTTTTCCAACAGATCAAGCAAACCCCTTTTCTACAAGTTCCTATTTACACAACTCCCATATTAAATGATGTCATCAATTTTCAATTCGCATATAAATTGAACTTTAATGTACTGAACATAGATGCAATTTGTAATACCCAGTCTATTAGGGTTCTGGTTTGAACCTGTTGTGTGCTATGTGTCCTGTTTTGATGGAATTTTCCCCACCTTAATAATTAGGACAGCTTATAATTCTCATCGCTTAAAACATAACATCTCTGAGTTAACTCTTTAACATGAAACGACGACAAAAGTATAAGAGAGATGATACGCATATGCAAGCTCGCCCGACGTGAGTCGTGATAGATGGGCCCTTCTCAATGGAGATTTTGGATATTCGTTAGATATGTTTCTTTTATGTTTGCCATTACTAACCCAGAATACTTTCATGTCCTGCATCCAGAGCGTGGCCTTGATTTGCTACCTCTTAAAGTGCTCACCGGTGAATTTTTTTTTTCAATCTCAGTGTGTCAGCAAAACCAGCCATAGTTAATTTAGGAAAAGACCTACAATTAGGTTTTCAGATTGTTGACAAAAGTAAACAATTTCATGATTAATTTCAGAATATAAACAATGATGAATTCAGATACTAGCATGTATAGCCCTAACATATTAGTTGAACAGAACACCATATATGTGAACAACAAAATAATCAATCAAGTAGGCATACTAAAATAACAAATGAGATTACAACGTACATACTTTTTGTTTATAGATGGAGATTTCGTGGCTGGTGGTGGAAGGTCATTGTCTAGTGGTAGTGGTGGTGGAGCAATGTTATTATTGAAGACAGGTTGAAGCAGCTGGCGGTGGAGATGACGTGCCAACAAGATTTGGAAGACAAGCCATCATGGTAGTTGGCAACAGTTGTAAGAAAAGCTCTTCCTAAAAACCTTATTCATCCTCTCCCGATGCAAGATCGCAAGGACGAGGCAAAACCGTAACTGAAATAGATGTGTTTCTGGCGTTTGTCGATAGGTTGTTTATATAGGTAAGTCCCACATGATCTTGTGTCGTGATCACAGTCTAAACCAATTAGGTTTCCAATTCGTAAAGTTAAAGATCAAGTAACTAAAAACTAAGGACACGTTTGGTTGGCACCGCTGCATGCCACACCGCAGTTGTGGCCGCACCAAAACTGGTGACCAAATAAGCTTTTGGTGCACAAATTGAACTGGAACGCAATGGCTAGGATGCGACATGCCACAAATTTGGAAACGAACGCTGGAACTTGGGCACGGAAGCTGCGGCGTGGTGCGGCAAAATTGGGTAGCTAACCAAACGTGCCATAAAACTATTAAATTAAATGGAGGCCGCACGCCCACAAGGCCAGAAACCATTCAGGCAAATGTCACTCGTGCCGAGGGGAGCAAATGGCTTTCTTTTCTATCTTCCCACACTAGACTTTGATGGAACGGAGATGTCTTCTATATTTAAGTATAACGACCTCCACTTCAACTTCAACTAGTAAGGTGGGACTAAAGATATCCCACCTCCCCCATAAGCACGTGTAAATGTATTTTTGAAATTTATTTGGAACAATTAGAAATTCTCTGTTGGGCCAAGCCCATGCACATATTGATGCTTATATTCCAACATTTGAATATTATAACAGTTGCATATATAACAAACTCCTTGAATCTTCACAGTATTACAGTACATCAAACATACTTGGAATAAACCAAAACTAAGATTAATTAGCAAGTTACATGCACAATCCCAATATTGCGAAAATACGAAAGGTGACACCTCAAATGGATACCATGTGGAAACTGGAGCATAAAGCACACAGGGCGACGGCAACCCCAGACTACGCACGCAGGGAAAAAATAGCTAGCAAGCAGTAGGCTACATTATACTACATCAGCAGAGGTAGCAGCAGCGCCATCGTCCTCGCCCGGCCTGCTCACAATCCCGGCATGGAAAAGCAACGCCCAGAGCAGTGTGATTAGCTCACCTCCTCGGGCAATGGCTTCTGAGTGACCTTTCAGGTTGTCTGATGGAGCGAGATACAGGATCATCTCTGACCAGAACTCAGCTAGCAACTTCCACATGGTTTCCTGGTCCTCCATGGTCTCCACCAGCTGCTTTCCAAGCTTCACACCATCCTTGACCACTTCATGCTTTGAGTGCTCGCTCAGCAACCTGACTAGCTTCTGATACCCATCCTCCTCTCGCTTGGTTGACTGATCTGCCAAAGGATTCTCTGATACGGCACGCTCGTCTTCCGCTGTGGATGCCTCTGCCTCTGCTGCCACAGAGTACTCATCCAGAGCGCGCTCATCATCTTCCGGAGTAGATGGTTCTGTCACAGAGTACCCAGGGAGGGCGCCCTCGGCGTCCTTCTTTACAGCCCTGTACAAGCCCTTGTTCCATGCACTGTTGTCCGGGAGCAGCTCCGGACACCAGTTCACCAGGTACGCGCAGTACTGTGATAGCTGAGTGGCGACAGTCTTATGATCTGAATCAGAAGCTTCACCTGAACGATGTCTTACCTGAACGATGATTGTGGCAATATGCCATACAAGTATAGTATCCGATATACCTTTGCCGGCGCAAGCCCAGAGGAAGGTTTCGCCAACTTGGCTGCAGTGCAGAGATGCTACTCCTCTGCTCAAGCCCCCATTGATGGCACTCCTTAGTGCATTGATGATGCAAACCTTCACTGCTGCTGTTACCTTGACCTTCCATTTTTGGCCTGGTAAGAGCAAGAGACGCCTGACAAAGGCTAGTAAGGTTGTTCTGTGGTGAAGTACCAGAACAGAGCACTGGCTCATTTCTTCATTCCAGTGCTGCTTCATGATCAGCTTGCATCTACATCTTAGGAGAAGACTCATTACCCATTTTTTCATGCAAAGTGAACGCTGTGAAGAGGTTTGGTTAATTACGTAGCGGCAGATAAGGGTTACTTTGGTCCAGTTGGAGCAGATATAGGAAACCATGTCCCTGACCTCAGATATCATGACCAATAGAACAATCCAAAGTAGTAATGCCATGTCGATAAAATATGTTCCAATAGAATAACGTGTACAGTCGGTTACCAAGCGATCGTGAATCCACCATATGTTACAGTCAAGTTGCCTCCTCATAGCCAAAACTTGAAGATTTTCGCCGGCAGTTAGAGCTAACAAGATGCAATAGCCTATGCTCAAGAGTGAGAGCAAGATACTCAAGATGGGTAGACGACACTTAGCATAAGAGATCGGGAGGGACGAGTAATAGTAATCATGAACAAAAGAAAGTTCATCCATGATGACCCTATATATCCTGTCATGTTCTCCAGACTGTAGCGACAAGCTCCGGAAAAATGTGAGGGTCCCTGTAGAGCCAGCATTAGTGAGCCTGTACCTAGCAAATCTGCACCGCAACAACTTGAACAGTGCAAAGGACAAACATAAACCTTTGAGTTGTGGACTTAGGATCGGAAGCGTGCTATCCAATTGCCAATAAATTCTGTCAAATGTCACTATACCATTATTGGTCGTCAAAACTGTCCCTGAGTCATCCTTGAACGCATACCCACGAGGTTGAATCTCCACTTGTTTTTCCTCTTCTCTGATAACCAAAAGTGGTGGTGGAGGAGGAGGTGCATCGCTGCCTACTAGTGGTTCACTTTGTTGAGTCGCTTCTTGTACTCGTAGTTTCTCCATGTAAACAAAAGTGAGTCCAGGATTGCGTCCTAGTGCAAAGGACCGCCGTGCCTTTTCAAATGCATAATATTCTAGCACTATTTTGGCACACAGCAGAGAAAAAGGTGCGATTAGTCCGATGAAAATATCGAAGTAGGCTTTCCAATCTATGAGGTTGTGCTCCAAAGTAATAAAACCAAGGTAAATGGTCCATAGAACCTGAACAATTAGGGTGATATTGGGACCTACGCTTCGACCTTCTCGACCTTCAGTGGCGACTGCTGTGCTTGTATTGACCATGACGATCTGAACGAGCAATGCCCAGATTACAAGAACTTCGATGTGGAGAGTTGCATGGCATGCTGCAACCAATGCAGAAGGACCATTAGGGTCAAGATCAAGAACACGAGTACTCTTATCAAAGATCATGACGTAACTAGGGTCAGTGGAATTGGAAGTGGAGACAACAGACGATACGATGGGCAAGAATAGTGTGGTAGCTCCAAGGAAGATAAAACGTGTGAAAGGGTGGTGGCGATATCGCTGGCCATAGGCTCCAAGCCCAACTATTATTACTGCCAAGATGCCTCGGTGATTAGCAGCGCGTCAACTTGCCATATATCATTTCTTATGATCTTATGGAAGATCGTAGTAGAATTTGTTGGGCATATCATCTGCGAGTAGCATGGCTCCAGTGCAGGGACGGAGCAGCTTGGTGTTGTATCATTCCTTCCATCCATGGTCCAACTGATTGACAAATTCCAAGATTATTAGAACAGGTTGTCGGCACAAAGGTATAAGGGATTTAATCTTACTCTAATGTGCGTGCATGATTAATAATGTTGTATTTGTAACTAGTATAAAGTGCGACAAGTTACTAAGAACAACATAATTAAATTGATGCTATATATAATGAGTCAGTAATAAATAGTTAAAAGAAATTACCATATGCACGGTGCCCACCCAGCTGATTGACAAATGTGCTGGGATTAAGATCCGGCCGGCTGCTCCCGTCCTGGCGATAAATATTGAGCGGCTATGCCACGAGATGCCGGTTTTCCGATATATATCCTTTTGCTTTCAGTGTGTTCTCCACAATTCTTCTGCTGCCTTTTCCTACTTGTGCCTCTTTTTCTATTCCATAGTCCTGACATGTCAAGGTCAGTACAGGTCCCACGTCCCACTACTTCACCACGCACGATCACATCAGCGGTCAGTTTTAAGTTTTAATGGCATTGCCAATAATTTCCTCACAGCTTTGTCTCATCACTGTCAGAGCGTTTATGAGCGTTTATATTTGACATGGTCACCTCGCGACCCATCACAACTTGACAGAACATCTAACTCAGATCCTACTCCTGCTAATCATGAAAGGAAGTATGTTCAGTCAAGCAATGGATGATTACTGTGAAGCCATCCGAGGTTAATCCTCAAAGGATGTACGTGGAAAAATGTTTTCTTCTTAGCTCCTACTCTTTCCGCATCTTCTTCTGCTGCTATTACCATTGCAGTTCCAGATAATCTAACTCACTTGCGACTCCTTGCCTTTGGTGATCCAATAATTCATCTAGCATTGCTGCGCCAGTGCGACGACCACCGTGGCAGGAGCAAAGTGACGAGCAGCTGCGGTGTCCACTCAGGCCCTGTTTGGTTGAGCTGTGGCTGTGAAAAAAAGCTGCTGTGGGCTGTGAGCTGTAGAAAAGCTGAAAGCTGTTTGGTTAAACAAGTATAAAATATACTTTTTATCTTTATCTCTCTTGAAACAACTATGGAAGAGCTTTTTATTCCACCAATTTCGAAAATCAGAAAGCCAAAAGCCAAAAGCAGGGTCAACCCAGCTTTCAAAAATGAACTACGAAAAAGCAGCTGCTTCTGAAAAAGCACCCTCAAAAAACAACCACTTTGGTTGGACTTTTGACTTTTGAGACTAAAAGCCAAAGCCAAAAGCCCAACAGGCCTCAGACGGCAGCACCGTGGCGGAGTCAATCCCGTGACTCCTGTTGCCTGTTTGGCGGTGAGCGCGTCAGGCGTGGGCTGCCTCCGCTCACCTGTTCTCGTTACTGCACGGTGTGTGATATTGGGCTTTCTTTGCGTGGGCTAAAAAATACTTGGGAATTTCGTTTTGGGCTCAGTTTTGCCTCCACTGGGCTCCGCCCATGGGCCCAGGGCGGCGAGAGGCTTCCGCGACGGGTAATGTGGGTGCGGGCAGCGGCAGAGGGATGGGCTGTTATGTTCGTGTCGCGGTCAGAGTTGCCCTTCACTGCCTGTTCACCGACAGAAGAAAAGTGACAGTAACGTGGCTTTCTTGTCACTGTCGGTTAAACAAAACCGATAGTGATATGAAACTTCCTAGACCGGTAGTTATATCCTCAAGATCACTGTTGTAGTCTTCAACCGGTAGTGTTGATTTGAGCTACAAACTCAAATGAGTGAATGCTTGTTACTAACCTTAAAACAATAAGATCATGCGAATGCTTCAAAATCCAAGATCTTGAGCATTTTGGTGAAAAATGTCCGGAACAATAGAAGGAGAGGTAGGGAAAGTCGCTTCCTTGCACTAGTAAAAAAAGTTTTTTAGAGGCAGTAAAATCGTTTTTAGAGACGGTTTAAAAACCCGCTACAATGGCACCGATTATAAAAATAAATGATTTTCAGAGACGGCCACTAAAAATAATTTTTAGAATTTTTTCAAGGACGTCCACTAAAAATAATTTTCAGAATTTTTTAAAATCATTTAGAGTCTAATAAATTTTAACAGAGCCAAAAGGGACAAGTACCTATCACAGCTCACAAGATTTATTTTCCACCACGATTCAAAACCACAACACCTCTTACTCGTGCCTTTCATCCCCTACCACCACACCATACAGTCACTTGTGACTAACTATACGGTGCTGTCTATTTGTACTAATATGTACGAATGTTGTAATCAATATTTTAACTCATAAATAATCTTAAATAAGAAAACTTTTAACTACAAAGTTTTAGATCTAGTCGAGCACTACAACTTTGGTATAAAATATTTCTCCATCCAAGGTCATTTTAAAAATTCAAAAATTTAAAATTCAAAATCTGAGACTTAATTTATATATTTGGAACCCTAAAATGATCTCACACAAAAAGTTTATCAATTACAAAGTTTTAGATCTCGTCGAGCTCTACAATTTTGATATAAATTTTATCTTCATTCGACTTCATTTAAAAAAGATATGAATTTATTTGTGCTGCAGCTATTTTTAAGGACAGTTGACTTAGTTAACCACTCTTGAAAATCGACTTTTAGGCATGGTGGACTTAACAAAACCGCCTCTCGAAATCACTTATTTTCAGAGACAGTTGACATAAGTAGCTGTCCTTAAAAATCGTACTTCAGGGGCGATTTTCTTAATAGAACCGCCCCTAGAAATATAAATGTTTCTAGGGGCTGTTTTTTTATCAGAACCGCCCTAAAAATTGATTTCTAGCAACGATTGTGTAGCTACCGTCCCTACCGTGAAGGTTAGGGACGGCATGCTAAGAAAACCGCTTTTGTTAGAAAGTGAGGTATCTGTAAAAATCATTTCTGTACTAGTGTTGGATGAGTGTGCTCGGGATGGGATGGAGGAGGGAGGAGGACATGGGCTTTTGTAATGTGCAGATATCGCTGTCGGCTCATGCCTAAAGCCGGCAGCGATAAGGACCCCAATCATTTTTGAATTTTCAAGTTAAAAAAGAGCAGTGATAATTAGTGCCGGTTTCAAAGCAACCGACAGTGATGGCCCTGTAGCGAAGGTCAGTTCTATAATAGTGGCTGAAAAAGGGATGAGCTATGGTTTTCACAAAAGAGAATGACTAGTGGGCCACTAAAAATACTCTTCGCATGAGTGGGCTAGACCGAGCTTGCCAAACCTAAAACGGGGTACTAATACTGATTGTTTGACTATTATGTGCTTTTACCGACCCATTATTCAAGGGAACAGCTAAACATATGTACGAACCGATTTAGAGTCGGTACAACTAGAAACTGCAACCGATGTTTGATAGAAATTTATACCAACCATTGTTGGTTGTTAATATTCTGTTTTAACGATTGTTGTCCAAGGCTATAGATTGGCTGTGGTATAGTGAAAAAGTCATGCACTGAGCATAGGTCTGGAAGCTGTTTGGTCTAGCAGCTGTGTGACGTCTGCAAGTTCGAGATAAAAGAAGGTCGGAAGAAGGATTATCATGTGTTTGGTTCAAGGGTTGGAGTGGGTTGGACCCAGTTCTAGATGCGTTTGGTTTTGGACCGATGGGTTGAGTACATCCCGCGAGGGGAATATTCCTGCCTCCGGATGCGGCTTCATCCTATTCCTCCAAATCGACCGGACCGTGTGGACCTAGATGAGCGAGCGTGCGGAGGGAGATGTAGCACATGCGAGCACAGGTGGAGTGAGGATGCATCGCATGCGTGCGAGAGCCGCATGAGTAGGCGGAGGGAGGATGCAGAGGAGCAATGCGTGAGCGCAGATGGAAGCCGCATGCGGGTGGGCTATGGCGTGGCTAGGGTAGCCGCAGTAAGGGCGGGTGGCGGTACGGCCAAGATGCATCAGGCGAGTGCGCGGCGGGGCGGACCAGCGAGCAGGCAGCGACGCAAGCGCGGAAGCCGCGGGCGAGTATGCGCGCTGCGGCCGTGCGAAGAGCCGCGAGCGCGCATGGAGGAAGAAGGGAAAGAGGCTGCCAAACGAGCCCCACATGTCAATGACACAACAGAAAACTTAAATGGATCCAACCTTGTCAACCAAATAAGGAATAGGTTCAACCCAACCGATAAAACTAGGGCAGGTTCAACCCAATCCACATCGTTCCAAAAACAAACACACGCTTAGTGTGCCATGTGCGTGCATAGACCACGGAGCACACGGCCACCAATCACAGTCATAGGTTTCTGCCCGAGTTGCGGCACCGGGAACATCAGATGGGAGAGGGGGAGTGGCTTGGTTGATTGATTGCTTCAGAGCGCTTGCAGCATGACACTTCCCGCCTGTAGCCGCTCGATCACCACGATCGGATCCATGACGATCCGGCGACGGCGAGGCCTTAGATGTGCAGGTACATGTTTTTAGTAGACGACTCAGATGTTCGTTGGTGGGTTTGCTGAACCAGCATCTAGTCAGGGAGCGAACCTACTCACCCAGTTTTCCATTGGCTTTAGAAAAGTTCTTGTCAGAACAAAGACAAATTTTCTTCTCGCTGCTTTTGAAGGACAGGCTAAGTACCAGAGAACTACTGAAAAGATGAAATATGGAGCTTCCCAACTACACTTGGTACTCTGTGAAGAAAATGCGGAAGAAACAACTTATCACTTATTCCTGTCTGTCAGTTTACGTCAGAATGTTGGGGAACTATACCGTTACATACCCAAACACATCTTGACCCATTACAGAACTTGGAATACCTAAGAGGACAAA